TTGTGACCTGACCACGAAACAAGACAAACTTTTGTATTCTGATTTCACCTTCTTCCGCAAATTGTCAAGAAGATCAGTTAGAAAACGCTCGATAAGAATATCGAAACAACATTTCCTGCTCACCTTCGCAAACAGGTAACAAAACGTCTTTATAGGGAATTTAGGCGAAGTTCCAGAACAAGACTGATGGGCTAACATTCCGCGAAAAGCAGGAAGAAAATTTATAGCATATGCCGGTAGATTCATCATCACATACGCGCCGGACGGCTGTATTTCAGGATCAGCGTTGGTGATTTTCTAGAACTGATCAACATCAATGAGAAAAAGATGCACAAATCTACAAATATTTTGCACTACAATTATAAAACAGGGTAAAAAGATAGCTAAGCAAAACCCACTTCATTCAAATCGTCAGCTACAGGTCCACGAATGAAGTCGATGGCATCCATATTGTAAATGCCAACTTTTTCACAAGGAATCTTGAAAAATTGCTTGAGAAATGATTACTAAATCAGTCCTGCAAACGCACCTTGTTCAGAGCCATATTTTCTTTCATCCACCTAACGCTTTCTGGGTTAAGATCATTTGCCAGTACACGAGAAATTCGACCTTTCTTGACAGCAGGTAAGACAAATGGACCTACTCCAGCACAAGCATCATAGACTAAACTAACAGTTGCCAAAAAGTGCAGAAACATTTATTTCAGGGATAAGAGTATAAATAACGTACTCAATGATCGTGAGTCGAACATCTTCACAACTCGTTCATGTTCGTGGCTCAAGCGAGAGTTCCAAAAAACCTAAACACAGAAACTCCTTGAAGCTGCCTCATTGAGGCAAGTTTTTTTAACAGTCTGATACCTTAGAAAAGTCCAATTTGTATCTTACGCCATCCTCGATCAATTCTGTCACGTAGTTGTTCTCACCAGCTAACAAATCCAATTCAAAGTTCCGGTATTCACTGCTAATCCCGTCAATTTTGTTAACAACAGTCCTAAGTAAAATCACAGATAAACAAAATAGTTTTCAAAAATGACCACGATACCTGCATTTTCCAACCTTCTCCAGAAGGATTTGTCCAATAACCTTTTTGAACGGCAACAGGTTCTCTCTCAGATTTACATGAACAATGTGTCCAGCCTGACTGTAGCTGCTAAATAATGAATTCAATAAGTAAGAACGATAACTTCGTGGAAAACCATCTCAGACCTAAAGTCCAATTCTTTCGGAAGCACAGATCTCAGTATTCTTCTCAAGTCCCAATCCTCAAATGCTATGGGAAATGTTCGCGACTCCCACTGCAACTCGATATCTAAATTCCAAACGGATTACCATCCGCACTTTGTTAAAAGAGGATTATTTGAAGTGAAATGCAAAATGTAGTTTGAAAATGACAGCCTTTGGAATTTCACACAACCAAAAATGGCGAAACAAAATTTAATTCCATTATGACTTCCAAAGCAATTTGTTCCATATTTTGTCTCTATGGTATATTCTTAAAGTTCAATTCAGTGCAGAGTAGAATTTAAAAAAAAAGAGAAAAGCCTATAAACTTAGTTTTGCTTGCCATTTTGAAGCTCAAGACCAAAGTACTATCTTTTATATTTGAAAAGCGAAAGGGTCGATTTAACTCTTTATTTTATTAGACGCAATTCTTCAGATTTTATGTTTATTATTTCTAGTATTCTAAACTATAACTAGTCATAATTAGTCGTCTTTCCTTCCTCAATGAAGTTACTGCCTGGCAATTTCTTCGTGGTACATTTGCATTCATAATTGTAAACTTTAAATGGTGTGCAAACGTAACTAGAATTGTCCGCTTTTAGACCAATGCGGACGTTTATATGCGATTTCTCTCTGTCGCCAACTTTTTGCTTATGAAAAAGCTGAGAGAGCGACACCAGAATATAGACAGCTTGCATCTTAAATGTTAAAAATCTTGCATAATGCATATTGCAAATTTTGGAGATAAGCTTAAAGTTTACTACAGTCTACTGACTTAAGAACACTGGTAATCGCTACTATTCTTTGAGAAGAGTTCTGAAAAACCACTTCGCAGTGATTTTAGATGATCAATTTATGCCGCTTTTCGAAGAAAACGGAACTCAACTTTCTCAAATTTGGATTTCGTAGCAAGTGCTTAGTCTAATAGGCGCACTGTTTTTGATTATGATGAATCGATGAATAAATGCAGATATTGAAGCCAATGTCCAGTAATTTGTTCATAACCAGTCAAAAATAAACAAAGACCTCAAATACAGAAAGATGTACAAATGCAGAAAAGATGAGATAAGAATAATGTCTCAATAACAAC